GAGAGAGAGAGCGAGAGAGAGAGAGAGAGAGAGAGCGAAAGAGAAAGAGAAAGAGAGAGAGAGAGAGTGGACAGCAGGGGAAAAGGAGCGAGGGAAGTGAGAGTGAGCAAGTGAGAGAGATAGAGTGTGTGATTGAGAGAGTAAGAAAGCGAGGCAGAGAAAGAGAGAGGAGGAGAGATGGAGAAAGGGGATGGAGTGAATGACAGATTGGCAGAGAGAGAGAGGGGGAGGGAGGGAATGAGAGAGGAAGGGAGGGAAGAAGGGATAGAGAAAGACAGAGAGACACACACAGAGAGAGACTATGTTAACACACACTGTTACTATGATTTACTCCTGCATAACCCAGTATTAATTGCATTGCTTTAAGTATTTAAGTAGCAAACAACTAGGCAGTCCTATACAACCCAATTAGTAGAGGCCCGAGTATCGAACATATTTCTCTCTCCTTCTATGTACCTCAGCCATGCGTGGGTCCCATCCGCCGTGTCCCTCCTGCATTGCTTCCAGTGTTTCCATTACCAGCGAGCACGTGACACGATCTCCAACATTAAACCTCTGATACTGAATGCTGGATGATGCAACTACTTGCTCCGCTTGCTGACCTGTAACAATTACATCAAAACAAGTTCATCAGTTGGTAAAGCTTGCAGGAGAAAAGACAACAAGAGACAAAGAAAGAAAACTTGAAAAATAGAAAGCGAAAATAATACGTTAATGTCCTGCAAAAATCTGTGGCAGTTTACCAAGCCACATAAGCAATTGTAGTTGTTACAGATTTTTTCTCCTTGATTTTCACACTTTTATTCTAAATTTCTACACTAGTCTACACTAAATATTCAGTTTTGATGATTAAAATATTACTAGAGGTGAACAGCATAGGTTAAATCAACAAGCTATCAAAACCACTAGAATTGCACGATTTTCACCACATTACCTTGTTAGGTGTACAATTGATTGTGTATTTATCCTTCGCAGTTATCTAGCTGCATATTTAACTACCCAAACAGACGAAAATTATAGTTATTTATAGTAGCGTAGGATTGACACTACACCCAAATCTGACGTATACTCCAAGTTTGGTGTGAAGATAAGAAAGTGGATACCTGGGCTTTTATACTGTGGATTATGCAGCGTTCGGCAGAAAATATTGCACTTTACTCTGTAGTGTATGAGGCAGATAGAATAGCAATATACTAGTCAATGTCATCAGGATTATTAAACATTGCACCTTAACAAAACTGCAAGCTTACAAAATAACAAAACACAAAATAAGCCAATCTAACACTTGTGTTTCTCATGCTGCTTTCAACATAGTTGCCACTCAGAATTTAAAATAAATATAATATGCCTCAACCTTATGATATATAAGACTTAAATTGTATAGTACGTCAAAAAATTCCTTGCACAATATATTCTATAAGACTTGCTTGTATAATATGCTACAGGACTTGCTTGTATAATACGGTACAGGACTTTCTTGTATAATACGGTACAGGACTTTCTTGTACAATATCCTACAATCACATGCTTGTACATTATGGCATAATACAATACGACATGAGATGGTACAA